ACAGGAGGTTGGAAGACAATCTGTTCTCACTGACGCAGTGCATCGAAATAGCAGAAAAGGAACTAAGGCCCCTGTGGCTAGTATTTTTGGATATCAAGGGAGCGTATGATATCGTGGTTCAAGAGGACTTGTGGGGAATACTGGACACACTAGGTGTGGAAGATGGTGTCACTAATCTTTTAAAGGAAATCTATAAAATAAAAGTAACAAGGTAGTTATAAAGTGGGAAAAACAGGTATTCGAGCCCACAGAGGTGAAATGGAGGCTTAGGCAAGGGTGTCCTCTGTCACCCTTGTTATTCATGATGTACTTACAAGTATTAGAGGCCAAATTAGAGGGAAGTGGACTTGGCTTCAACCTCTCTTTAGTCAAACAAGGAAAACTCATTGATCAGGCATTACCAGCATTAATGTACCCAGATGATATAGTGGTAATGGCCAACAACAAGGAAGATTTGCAGAGATTGATGGACATCTGCGGTAATGAAGGAGATAGGCTAGATTTTAGATTCAGTAAGGAAAAATCAGCTGTCATGATTTTTAATGATAATGAAGATAGTAAGCTTCGAATACAGGAGGTCATGCTAGAGATAACAGATAAATACAAATATCTGGGCGTATGGATAAGCAATGGGACCAAGTACCAAAGGGAACACGAAATATACGTGACGACTAAAGGTAACAGGAATGCAGCAGTGATGAAAAATAGGGCACTGTGGAATTACAATAGGTATGATGTTGTAAGAGGAATATAGAAAGGGGTCATGGTTCCTGGGCTTAGAAAACAGCAGAATACTTAGAAAACAGCAGGTGGCCAAATCAAAAAGAACTATCGGTGAAGAAGAAAATGAAGGAAACGGAGACTGATATGTGGAGAATTGGCATGATAAAGAAGTCCGCACTAGAGATCTATCGAACTTTTAAGCAGTAAAGTGCCAAGGAAAAGATCCATGATAATACTCAAGGTAGTTCTCTACCGTTTGAGGCCACGACGGGAGTACTGCGAACCAAGACATATCTGGCCAAATACGAAGGGGTAGACACAGTATGCAGTGCGTGTGGAGAGGAAAAAGAAACTGCCGAACACTTGATAATGTTCTGTAAAGGGCTTCACCCTATAATTCAGGATGATGGCGCAGAGTTTTTCAAAGCACTGGGGTTTAGGGATAGAGAGGGCAAAATATACTTTAAGCGGGTAGAATTAACTAGAACGAGGTTATCTGATTGGTGGCTAAAGTCAAGGCACGAGTGAAAATTAAACTCTCCACTGCAAAGTACGAATCCTCAACCTCACTATTTAAAAAAAAAAAAAAAAGATAAATCTAGTGGTTAGTTCACTAAGTATTACGGCTGGGTGGCGTTAGCAGCCGCCCGATCTAAAGGGTACAGCCACATCCATCCATTCATACATGTCATTGACAAAACTCGGCTTTCGATATTTCTATAGAGCCTTTTATTAGCAAGGTTATTTGTGCAGGAATCGCTAGAACGTCAAAAATTTTGCATGCCACTTTAAATGTAATTTCATAAATCAGAGTTTTCCTTTAACTTAACTGTCTGTATTGCTGTGCGAGATTCTTAATCTTTACTTTTATTTATGACAGCACCCACTCGTAGCCGTCGAGTCGCAGCGAAACGGCAAGCTCACTGTACATGCCAGAGTTTCATTTCTGACACCTCAAGTCTCCCAGTCACCCCCGCCAGCGGTCAATTACTGTAAAGGTCTTTCCATTCAACCACAAAGTACGCGTATGCTGTGACGCAGTCGAAAAGCTGGCTACGCTCATACAGTAATCGATTCGCTTTGAGGTGCTACAACTGCTCCGACGATGCGAGAGTTGAACTAGGTGCGCAAGACAACGGTTGTCTGCTTATCGCCTGCTTCTCCCATAACTACATGCGGTCAATACGAATCTTGAAGTATGCGATATTTCAGATATTGTTCGCATTTAAACAGTTTACAATTTCTTTCATAAATAAGAATGTAGCTTTTTTAATATGTTTTATTGAACTATGTTCCATTTCTTTTTGTTTATTGTGCTTTTAACAAGCTCAGCCAGGCGACGCAGACGACAGCGAAATCACGATCTCTCGGCCGATTCCGATGCGGGGATCGCAATAGTCTTCATCCCCATTGGGCCTGATCACTCTTAACAATGATCGTGTTGCAGCACCTAATCCAGATGGTTGTTCATCCTGATCGGCGCCGATTGCGATTAAAAATGCCCGTGTGACACAGGTATGAAAAAAAAATATATTGCAGATATACCCTCCTTGCTTGACTCTACCTTAATGACAACCAACAGACTATGAAGCTAAGGAAAGTATAGGAGACTTTACTTGTATTAACTATGATACAAATATGAAGAAAAAAGAGCAGGCAATAAGAGTGTTCAACACTTGCTGTTATGGCTACGAATGGCGCCAACTAACATTTTATGTGCACAGATATACCCGGTAAAGTAGACAGAAGGACGACCATCACAATAGCTTAATGATCGAATGTTGAACGCATGATCCGAAGGTTGCAGGTTTGGTCCCGCCCAGCGGAAAGTTGTTTTTTTGTCTACATCTATTTCCTCGCATTTATATCCTAATAAATTCAAATGGTATCCCCAATACATTCCTTGACTTCAGTGGCTTTTCGTTGCTCTTAAGGTAGTGTCATAAGAAAAAAAATGAGCCCTTAATTTTCTTCCATCAGTTCTTTCTTAACAAAATTTTCAGAATTTTCACACCAGAATTTCACACCAGAGACAAAATTTTCACACCAATTCAACACCTTTTAAGAGAAGGCAGTACACTTAATTTTACTAAGACAGAGTTCAAACATACTCCAAAATATCTGCATTATCACAGACTTAAGCAGTGAGGGACCTACCCCATAGCAAAACTCTAATGAATCGAGATTGATGTCACAAACAATCGGTCACTTCTATATTATTACACTAGGTCATAGCCTGCCTCACTCAATTGTCTCACCGAGACCATTTGTGAAGCTGGCAGCTAGGGTAGGCTCAATTCAAAGGCATATTTGGCGAAGGTGGGTGCCTACAAACAGCTCTTCCTATGAATATGCGGTGTTTGGCCTTATATATTACATAGTCCAAAGGCCACACAATAACATATTAGGCTTGTGCGAATAGCAAATTTTAGGTTCGAAGCGAATTCGAAGTGAATAGTGATTTTGGTCTCAAATTGAATTCGAATAGTATTTTTAAAAATTTAAAACATACTGCAAGCCATGTGGCATAAGCAGGAATGGCAAGGTAAAAATAAATAAACGTATAATGCACAATTGAAGATCAACGAAAATGGCTAACAAACAACTCTAAATCAAAAAGGAATTGGAAACAGTGAGGATGTAGTCCTGTATTGATTAGGGCGAGTCCAGATGATAAAAAGGTATTAGGCTCCACTCTTCAATAGTTCGGGGAAAGAAAGAATAGTACTTAAAGAGTTCAGTTCTGGCAAGATAAGGAGAGTGTGTGAGGGAGTGAGAATGATGAGTTTTCCTAGTCTCAGAAAGGGTTATGTAAGGTCTCAGATCTACGAAAAATTTACCATTGAAAAAAGAATGGAGAATCTTCCAGTTGAGAAACCTTACTCCTCCTTTCAATCTTAGGCCTTTACAATATCACATATTGTAAAGAAAAATGTGCATATTTGTCATGACCCAACTAACCTGCACAATATTATTTTCTAAATTGAAACCAGGCTTATGCAAATGCCATTTTTGTGGTTCTTAGTAGGTGGAGACAACATTGAATAGTAGCAGGATTTGACATTTGGTAGAATGCAAGTGATAACCTGTCAAATATTTCACGTTTTAAAATTCACTATACTTAGAGCATATAAGCCAGTGTATAAAGCTTTTAAACTAAAAGAAAAAATGATGAATTGATGTGACAGTAATAGTTCATTTAATAAAATTATCAGCAGAACGAGTATCTCCTTGTAATATGTTTTTATGGCTTAGCATCAATTCACTCTAGTGAAACCACCTTTACAATAACAATAACATTATTATTATTATTATTATTATTATTATTATTATTATTATTATTATTATTATTATTATTATTGGGGTATAGCATCCCATAACCACCATGAGAGACGCCGTAGATTATGAGAGATGCCGTAGTGGAAGGCTCCGGAAATTTTTACCACCCGTGGTTCTTTAACATGCACCCAAATCTGAGCACATGGGCCTACAGCATTTTCGCCTCTATCGAAAATGCAGCCTCCGCAGCCGGGATTCGATCCCGTGACCTGCGGTTCAGCAGCTGAGTGACATGGCAGGGCCACCTTTATAAAAAATCACATGCGAATTATTGTACACTGCTGGTGCTTTATGAAAGGTAACACGTGAGCACGTGGCCTGTGCTCTACAAAGGCTGCCTGCAGGACCATCATCAACCGACAGCAAAAAAAAAAAGACTTTGGCTTTTGGTGTCATCTATCGGCAAACAAAACAATGAATTATGGCCACTAGACAAGCGCTGCAAGATGCTGTAGGCAGCCGTTGTAGAGAGCAGGTCACGTGATTGCGTGTTCTCTTTTATAAAGAAGAACAGTGTAAATTTAAAAGGTGGTTTCACGGCTTAGCACCTCTTCACTGCAGCAAAACCATCTTTACAAGAAGTTACATGCGGATAAATATACATTTGTTCACTTCGAATAGCTCAACATTTCTACAATATGTGTTTGCATCGAAGCAAATATGAATACTGCAATATTTGTTCATATATTCAAAGCATTTCAACATTCGCACAAGCCTACATGCAGTACATTTCACATACGCACTTAGTGTCCAAGTGGCACGAGAAGCATTAAAATTTTCCTAAATGGTCCACTTCAGGCACTGTTACAAGGTTTTTTTTTTATATTTTGTTTATTTTTATATGCTTACCTTTTCTGCAGTCTACCTCACTTCATGAGACCCTACATTAAAAAAAGTTATTCTCGTTTGGTCTAGTGGGTTTTCCAAAGTTTACTCACTGATGGACGGAGCCAGCACATCACCACTGAACAGGATCAATGGGTTCAGGCTAGCAAAGCTTTTGAGGGCAGTACAAAAGCGGGTGGCCCCACCAACTGGTTCACCATGCTGCTCCTCCACATTGTAGCAGTCATTGAAGTGCAGCACAGTGACCACTTCACCTTCTTCTGGCATTGTATGTCTGTGTATCCAGCTGCTTGAGCAGCTAGCACCAGCCAGACATCACCACCACCTGGTCAAAAATGAAGCATAAAGCCACAACTAAGCAAACTATGACTTTTTGTTACTTTAGCCTTGTGATAATTAGATGTTCTTCAGCTAATGATTTAGAGATATTAACACACGATGCACTGCACTAGCAACCTTACCCTTGGTAGCTAAGTGGCTATGGCATTGTGTAATTGGACTCAAGACTGTGGCTTGTATTCTAGCAATGGGGGCTATTACATTTAAATAGCAGCAAACACACTAATGTTTGTGTACTTAGATTTAAGTGCACATCATAAATACCTCAAGTGATAATTGTACCCACTAGTAGTAAACTAAAGGCAAAAAGAAAATAACCTTTTTCAGAGGTTGGTTATAGCTCCTGATTGGCGAGTCTGATTTTATAACACAAACTTTAAAAGCAGTGAAAATACCTTTTTTGAAAAGCAGCAGCAAATCCAAGTAACCCCATAGCACGTATGATAACATCATAATGAGGTGTTTGTCATGTCATTCAATGGCGACAGACACTTACATGCATAGTTGAAGGTTGGCATACTTTTCACTGCTTATTGCTCTGTTGTTTCAATTCAGACCTGATTGCCTGCCTTGGGTAGGAGGCTGATTGCAAAATTTTTTTGTGCACTAGTATTTCATTGCATGTTCAGGACACCACAGGTAACGAATATTGTCACACGCTAAGAGCTCGAATGAACATACAAAGGGACGCGACTGTCTAAATCTCAGAGACAAAGAAGGACGTCTCCGCTGGCATGGGTTGCTCATCTTCGTCTTCCTCATTCACCGGCACAGAACTGACCCACTGTTCACTGGCACAGAACACCAGGTGGCATTACTCCTCCTCCCAAGAGAGCATCGACCCGATGCTCAAACAAAAGTGTGCACAGCAGTGGGTCGAAGTAGGCAACATAAAGAAACATTAAACAAATTAGTGCACGAAAGAAAATGCGTCCTGGGCCCGGCAATCGGAAATAAACGGCATTCACTGTTCACATGAAGAGTTCACTGGCACAAGAAGAAAATTCGCATCACCGCGTAAAGTATGGTTTTAGGCGGACTACATGTACAGCCTCTGGGCGTGGTAACCTGCGCTGGGGTGATGGTGAGCCTCCGTCTGGAGCCACTTCGTAGTTTACGTCGCTCACACGTCTGAGTGCTTTGTAAGGTCCAAAGTACTTTCTCAAGAGTTTCTCACTGAGACCTCGCCGCCTAATGGGTGTCCAAACCCAAACTTGGTCACCAGGTTCATAATTAACTTCTCTATAGTGGATGTTGTACCACCGTGCATCTGCGTACTGTTGAGTTCGGATGTGCACACGGGCCAATTGACGTGCTTCCTCAGCGCGCTGAATGCACTCATTGATGTCGGGGGCTAATTGGTCGAGCTTGTCGATGTCCTCATACGGAATCATGGCGCCTAGCATAGTTCTAACATCTCGACCATAAACGAGCCGGAATGGCATGAAGCGTGTAGTTACCTGCGTTGCAGTGTTATACGCAAATGTTACGTACGGCAGGATGTCGCCCCACGTTTTGTGCTGCACATCCACGTACATAGAGATCATGTCGGCTAGCGTTTTGTTTAGCCTTTCTGTTAAACCACTACTCTGAGGGTGATACGCAGCGGTATTTCGATGGATTATGTCTCTCAACCTGAAGAGATCATCCAAGAGTTTCGCTGTGAATGATGTCCCTCGATCAGTGATGACATATGACGGGGCGCCATGCTGTAGCACAATTTGATGCATAAAAAAATTGGCAACTTCAGATGCGGTCCCTTGGGGCAATGCCTTCGTCTCAGCGTAACGCGTCAAGTAGTCGGTTGCGACAATAATCCATTTGTTGCCAGAAGAAGACAAAGGAAACGGGCCTAGGAGGTCCATCCCCACTTGTTCAAACGGTGTACGTGGTGGATCGATCGGTTGTAGATGGCCTGCAGGCTTTAAATGTGGTGTCTTGCAACGCTGGCATTCAGGCATCCCTTCACGTAGCGTTTGACACAGGCAGACATTTTAGGCCAGTAGTAGAGTTGTCGCACCCGATCCATAGTTCTCGAGTAGCCCAGATGGCCAGATGTGGGCTCGTCGTGGCAAGCTAATAAGACGTCATCGCGGAGGGCTTCAGGCACGATGAGAAGATGAGATCTGTCACCAGCACTGGCGTTCCTTTTGTATAAGACGCCATTTCGTAGGCAAAATGATGGCAACGTTCGCGACATCGGACGAGGAATGGGCGCGGTGCCACCTTCTAAGTGATCTATAATCATTCTTAGATCGGCGTCATTTCGTTGATGAGACATCAGATCCGGTCCGCTGAGAGTTGCCACGAAGGCACCGTCCTCTTCTGCGCTAGTACTGGCGGATTGCAGATGTGCTCGTGATAGCATGTCAGCTTCTTCGTGCTTTTTGCCTGACTTGTACACGATGGTGACATCAAATTCCTGTAGGCACAGACTCCATCATGCTAATCGTCCTGAAGGGTCTCGTAGATTGGTCAACAAGCACAAACCATGATGGTCAGTAGCCACTTTAAATGGTCTTCCATAGAGATATGGCCTAAACTTTGTAATTGCCCAAATGACCGCGAGACATTCTTTCTCTGATGTGGAATAGTTAGATTCTGCGCGAGACAGTGTGCGACTTGCGTAGGCTATTACCCGTTCAATTCCATCTTGTCTTTGTACCAAAATAGTTCCAAGACCAATATTTCTGGCATCAGTGCGTACTTAAGTGTCTGCATCTTCATCGAAGTGGCCGAGCACGGGAGGGGAAGAGAGCCGGTGCTGTAGTTCCGGAAAGACTCTGCTGTTTGTCAGCCCAGACAAATGGTGTGTCATCACGCGTGAGGCGTAATAGCAGCTCCGCAATGTTCAAGAAATTTTCAATAAAGCACCGGTAATACGCGCACAGACCCAGAAATCGTCGAAGACTTTTTCTTGTCGGAGGTGGAAAAGCGGTGACGGCAGCAGTTTTGTCAGGATCAGGCCGAACACCAACGGCGCTTGGTCACACCAACGGTTGGTTTCTGGTCACACCAACGTGACCAAGAAACTTTAATTCTTCGTAGCCGGAATGACATTTCTCAAGCTTGAGTGTAAGATCGGCCAATCTAATGGCTTCGAGCACATTCTGAAGGCGACGAAGATGCTCGTCAAACGTTTCTGAAAACACAATGACATCATCGAGGTAGACGAGACAGCTTTTTCCACTTGAGGTCTGCCAGGACGGTGTCCATCATTTGCTGGAATGTAGCTGGAGAGGAACAGAGGCCGAAAGGGAGCACTTTGAATTCATAAAGGCCATCCCGCGTTACAAAAGCGGTCTTTTCCCGGTCACGTTTATCGACCTCTATTTGCCAATAACCGCTCTTCAAGTCGACGGACGAAAAATACTTTGCGCGTCGCAGCTTGTCCAGAGAATCATCGACTCTAGGCAACGAGTACACGTCTTTTCTTGCGACATTGTTCAACTTCCTGTAGTCGACACAAAAGCGAAGCGTGCCACCTTTCTTTTTTACAAGAACGACTGGTGATGATCAAGGGCTGCTTGAAGGCTAAAATCACGCCATCCTGAGGCATTTCCTTAACCTGCGTTTGAATCGCGTGTCGTTCGATTGGCGAAACACGATAAGGCTGCTGCCGTATGGGATGCGCGTCGTCGTAGGTGACAATACGGTGTTTCGTTATCGGTGTTTGACGTATCTTCGAAGAACGTGCAAAGCATGTGCGGAACTCCAGCAACAGCTCGCTCAAACGCTGCTTGTTCGCTTCAGAAAGCGTTGGATTGATGTCGACGCTGCGGAAAGGCGCTTCAGCTGTACCGATGGCCTCGGAAGCAAAACACTCTGTGACATCGGCAACTGGGTCGGCGTAGGCGATGACAGTTCCAGGAAAAAGGTGCCGGTACTCGTAGCTGAAGTTTGTGTCGCAGTGATCATCACGAAGGTCAACAAGGCTTCTCGCTACACAGACACCTTGAGACAGCAGAAGCGAGTGATTGCTTTCCACGACTGCTTCACCGTGCATCACTCCGTCCCACGCCACCTGAACCGCAACAGTTGCACGGGGTGGTAACGTGACAGCATCGTCGATGACGCGAAGAGACACTCGGGGGTGGCTGGAGTCGGCGTAAGCTGTTGTGGCGTTTGTGGTCGCGAAAGTGACTAGACGTCGTCGAATGTCAATTATAGCACCATGCTCACTGAGAAAATGCATGCCAATGATCAGGTCTCGAGAACACTGCCGGTGAACGCTCAAACTGGCAACAAATGTACAACCGCGGACTTGCAGTGCAGTCTTGCCGTGCACATAACGAGTGGCGTGACGATATGCCCGCCAGCTGTATGAATTGGCGTTCGGTTCGAAGGTGTCGTTACTTTCTTGAGAAGGGCGGCCAGCTTTTCGCTAATTATGAAATAGTCCGCACCAGTGTCCACTAAAGCGCTGACTTCGCGACCATCTAGCAGAACAGGAATATCTAAGGAAACTCTTCCGCAATCAGCCGGTGGTGTCGTTGTCGATGTATCGTCGGTATCTTCAGTCTGCGTCGATAGGGGGCCTTGAGCATGACCAGTTTGAGCGGCCTTGCCCCTGAAGGTCGCTGAGGCTAGTTTTCCCGACGCGGGCTAGGTGACCGGGTCTGCGCCACGCCAGAATAGTTGGGATGATTAGGCGTGAACCGCCGTGGTGATGGAGAGCGTGAGTGGTGCCGAGATGTCGATCCGTGCTGCTGAGCAACATAGTCAGCGATTTCCGGAGTCCGCTGGCCGAACCTAGAAGGTGGGGAGTTGGCCGAAAAACCACGAAGTCCCAGCTCTCGATAAGTGCACTGTTGGTAGATGTGCCCAGGTTCACCACAGTGATAGCAAAGGGGACGTCGATCGGGGGCCCGCCACACGTTTGATTTTCGCGGAATCGGTCGGCGGTCACTGAGGTACGGGCCCGCTTGGACTGCCTGAAGCATGGCTGGGGCTGTGGTATAAGGCGGAGTGAAATGTGGTGCAGGTTGGCGCAGAGTTTGGTCTGTCCGAAGCATGGCAGGGGCCGCGGTGGGAAGCGGAGCCAAAGGTGGTGCTGGCTGGAGCAGAGTTTGCGCATACGACATGCGAGGGAAGTCATTTAGGGGCTGCGGCTCTGTCTGACAGGACGGTTCTCGTAGTGCCTGCTGCACTTCATCTCGGACGATGCCGGACAAAGAACTGACAGTGGGCGCCGAGGGTACAGATAACTTCTGCAGTTCTTCGCGAATTACAGAGCGTATGAGCTCTCGGAAGAAATCGACGTGGCCCCCAAGATCACCCATGTAGTCCGTAGCAGAGGCAAAGTTCACTTGTTGCTCGTACGTGTGGGTCCGTTGCCAAGCGTGCTTTCAATCAGGACGGCTTCAGCAAGAAACTCTGACGTAGTCTTGGGGGTGCTGCGTACAAGACCACCGAACAACTGCTCCTTCACTCCACGCATCAGGTATCGCACCTTCTCTTCCGGCATGTGAGGGTCGGCTCGTCGAAAATACGCGTCATGTCCTCAACATGCATTGCTACGCCTTCATTTGGCATTTGCATACGGCACTGGAGTTCACGTTCAGCTCGCTCTCGGCGATCGGGACTTGCATACCTTTCGAGAAGCCGGCGTTTGAAGTCCACCCATAATGTGAACACACCTGCCCGGTTTTCGTACCAAACACGTGCCCCGTCATTCACCAAACACGTGCCCCGTCATTCAAACTGAAGTAGACACGTCGGAGTTTGTCTGCGTCATCCCACATGTTATGAGCGACAACGAAGTCATAGTGGATTAGCCAATCTTCTACATTCTCATGAACAGCACTATGAAAGGGATTCGGCGTTCGTGGTTTGAACAGCGTATATTGCAATGGCGTTGCGCCTTCCATACCGTCTGGGTTGGAGCCGCTTAAGATGGCGCTGCCTGAAATAGTTGGGGCCGTCATCTCCTCTGAGAGAAGTCCAAACTCAGGGTCCAGTCCACGGATCCTGCGGGTAGCACGGTGAGCAGGCGTAATAACCGGTATGGGGCTGGAGCTTCTTGTACTGGGAGGGGTTCGGTGCATAGGGTACCCTGCACCTCCACCAGTTGTCACGCGCTAAGAGCTTGAAGGAACGTACAAAGAGACGCGACTGTCTAAATCTCAGAGACAAAGAAGGACCTCTCCCCTGGCCCGGGTTGCTCGTCTTTGTCTTCCTCGTTCACCGGCACAGAACTGACCCACTGTTCACTGGCACAGAACATCCTACTAAAACATTTAGGAACATCCTACCCTGGTTGCTCGTCTTCGTCTTCCTCGTTCACCAGCACAGAACTGACCCACTGTTCACTGGCACAGAACATCCTACTAAAACATTTAGGAACATCCTACTAAAATGTGCCACATTGGCGAACTGTTGTTTTGGTCCATAAAACATTAACTATATATTGAATAGTGTGCTCTTGTCTTTTGCAAGCTAACATCATTCAATCATGCATTAATTTAAATAAAAGCAGAATACTAGTTTCTAAAATGTTGGTCACATCTAGAAATAAATAACTTCAGCATACTGTATACCATAACTAAATTACTTGACAATATATGCATAACTTCAAAAGTTATCCTGATAATCTTTCTTGTCAAGATGAATTGGCCAACTTATTTAAATTTGCACCCATTTATAGGACCATACAACATGAATACATTGCACTAGCTATTACAAAAATACCACGGTGTCACAATATCCTCATAGGCACATAAGAAGAATAAACATTATATGCATAAACAAAAAAGTAACTAAGAAAACCTATTCTGCAGCAGGAGTGAGGAAGTTCTTTTCTTTACCCTTCAAACGAAGGCTGTGCAGCTTTCCCAGCAGCACATGGCTGTAAATAGAACATGTTGCAGTAAATAATTATGGTTTCTTCAACAACAACATTAATCTATGTTTTTTATGCAACCTAACATATTCAAATGGTACATCACAAAAATGTGAATCTATGTGGCTGTGCATCACCAACTATTGTGAAAGTCAATGTGTTAATTTTGTAAGAAAAGTCACAGACATAAGAGCTTATGAACTTGGGTTGGTACTTCATGGTAATTTTACGAAAGCACGTTAATGATGGCTTGCATGAAAACAACCTCGTTGCCGCGCCACTGGTGCGTGTGAAATCTATACCTGCTTTTCTTATATCTTGTTCCTAACTCACATTCTCAGGTTCTCTAGCATGGACATATATCACTACTGGTAAAGACATATATCCGCTGTAATGAGAAGGGCGTGCACTTTCACATATGGACTCATAAATAACATCTCTATAGAGTTGCCGCGATTGCTTCCTTTTGGCTCCCCCCCCCCCCCTTTTTTTTTCTCACGTTACGGCCAACTATTCAGGCAAATTATAAATAAATCCCAACATTACACACAGTGCGCTGCAAACAAGGGAACAACCAACTTATATGTAGGTGCTCTCACGGGATGATCGAAAGAAAAACACAGTAGCTGTTAACGCACGCGTTGCTGCAAATAACCGCAAGGATGGTGCTCGAATTGGCTCGAATACCACCTTACCAAACGAACTGCAGCGCAGAAACTCCACTCTTTTGTTGCGCGAACGGAGGCCTTGAGGTTTGAACAACTGCCAACAGTTACGGCATAGGTATGACCTTGCCAAAGCCTCGCTTACGCAAATAAGGCAAGCTAAAATTAAGACTAGCCCCTGAGAACTTGATGCTTGCAACTAAACTTAAAATTAATGCCACAAGTAGCGCCTATGGCGCATATGCGGCACATGAATTAGACTGTGCAATGTCTGATAGGTGTTGACGGCTGTCATAAGTGGCGATTAACGCGAGCGAATTGAACGACATATCATTGCTGGGTTCCCGAAAAGGAGTTCAAGGCATGCTTGAGGGCATCAAACTTGTATGCTCAGTAGTAAAGCGCCGTTTAAAAGGGTTGTACAGCAAATACTTCGACCAGCACTGATTTCCACTCACCGAGCTGCCAAGGAAGGCGGCCGAGAATTATGTTTTTGTTTCGTTTTCTTTCTTATGTGCGCTTCAACCCAGTGAAAATAGACCCAACTTGGCTTGGATCCGTACAAAGCTATGGCTTTTGGAGAATGGTAGGTCAGGCAACCTGAAGTTTTCTGCCACTTCGTGTTTTCTGCAGGGTTAAATCTGGTTCTCTGAGCGTATATTTTTTTGTGTGTGGCGTGCTGTGGCTTTTGGTTAACAGTGGGTCAGGCACGGAGGAGCTCCTCCGTGGGGTCAGGCAACCTCAGGTTCTTTCGGCGTGTGGCTAGAGTGTACTACACTCTAGTGTGGCGCAACGTTAGAGTGTACTAGCAGTGTTGAGTGGCGAGACCGCGCCTCGCCGCCTGATCCCTTCCGCGTTGCCCGTAGCAGCGGCGCTGCAGTCAAATAGTTCTGAAAGAGCCGCGTGCACGGTCTACGATGCGTTTCGGCTCCTCCGTCGCGCTTTATTAATTCAGATTTATTCGTACCTATCCTTAATTCATGTCCAGCACATATGTCATATTCCTCGAAGTATGACAGGCCAATCTACTGAACACGAGCTGCATAAGAGCCCTCATAGAGATCTAAAATAATTTAGAAAGAGGGTGTCTTATGATCATTTCTTCTGTCTTAACTCTTTATTCGTTTGGTAGGCGTCTACAATATACAGAATAACTGAGCCGATATATGAAGTTAGCTGCGCTCAGAAAGCTGTGGGATTAAAAAAAATACCGTTTCGAACGCACGCAGAACTAGGAGGCAGTTAGTAGAGTGGGAAGAGAGACAGAACCTGAACCCCCTACACCATGAAATTTTTTCGTAATTAAACTTTTTAGGGTATACCAAAATATTTACACGCATTCACAGCGACTAACAATTGCAAAAGTTAGTTGTTCTGCTGCATCCCCCCCCCCCTAAAAAATATTCTGGGTGCTACTGCTAGCTTTGCGCCCAAGGCTTACAGTTGGCGAAGCTGAATATAGCGTGTCTCTGTACGAATTCGCACTGTACACTTTATCTTTTCAACAGTATGACGTCCTAAAACTAGTTCAAGTCTAACGTAGACGGACGAGAAATGCACCGCCTAAAAACAGCAGCTGTGCGTGTACTTGTGGACACACACACACACACACACACCCACATATATATATATATATATATATATATATATATATATATATATATATATATATATATATATATATATATATATATATATATATATATATATATCGATCGTGTGTGTGCGTTTAGTGTGTACATATAGAAGTTAAATTTCTCCAAACAAGATGCACCATTGCCTGCCTGCACTTTTGACACTTAATAATAGAATTATACTTATAATACAAAACGTCGTCATAAATTTGCTGGCTTGCAATTGCGTTACGCCAATAAATTATTTGGAAAAGCAGCGCAATTTACGCTGTCGATACAAAATAAGAACTGGTTACAATGACTTTACGCAGATTAGCAGACAGGCTATATATACAATTGGTACTTTTTAATATGTTTGTGTATTTTTTAATATGTTCAATATGTAATAAGCCTTTCCGAGAGGAATAATTATTATTTTCCGCAGAACTGGCATGATAAAATTGAGTCGTCACCGATATAAAGGTCGTAACAGCATAACTTGTACTCGGGTTTCTCGTGAAATGATCGAGCGCATGTAGGCTCATATAAGGAACACTGGGCTTTGCATATTGTAGAGACTGCCGACAAAACGAGCGTATCATTTATTAGCAGTATTGATACTTTTCCTCTCTTTGTAGTTTGCCAGTAGCCACTTATGATGTAACGCAGCTCAAAGCGCTGCTTGAATGAGAAGTTAGGCGGATCCGTGCAAATTCCGATTGGCATTTTCTTTTTGGGGGGAGAGGGGGGGGGGGGTCGGCAGGCTCTTTAAACAGTGAATGTATCAACTCAATTTCAGCGTGCCTGCATATTCACTCGTGCACCATGGTGCGTAGCAGGAGTGTCCGCTGATAAAGGCTCAGAAACGCATTAAACGCGCTAAAAACGAGCAATTAGACGCTTTCGCGGGCTACGGCGCACATGCTCTCAATGCAGACGCTCCTGAGATCTTCAGTACCTTGAGACAACAGTGCCGCGGCTACTGTCAACCGCCGGAGAATCAGCCGAGATGCGGCGCAGCCGCCTCGTTAACTCCACTGCCCCTTCTAGTACACTGTAGCACGTTTCTAGGTCTAGAAACGTTGGTGTGGCGTGTGTGGGATGAACCAAAGAGTTTCTCAAAACTAAGTAGAGGGCACTTTGGCGCTGCGATTGTTCAGAGACCATGAGAATGATGGGTGGTTAGAGGTGTGCGCCGGCTGGTCGGCGCGCCGCCGCCGACAGTTTTCACCGCGTCACCGACGCGAACTTATCGGCGCGCCGCCGCCTCCGCCGCCGACGTTTTTCATCGGCGCAATCGGCGCGCCATTTATGCGCCAGTACTAACTTTTCACAGATTTGTCTTCTTTTTCATCTTGATTTATAGCTTCGTTTCACATTTTATGTAGCCAGTAAAAACCAGGCTTCTTAGTTATCTTCATCCAGCTTCAGAGACCGAGAGTACCACTATGAACAGCGGAACGAGTTCGGCGGCCGCTGCATGAAATGACATATTGGACAAATTGACAAAAAATAAATGTAACAGTTACAGTAAAGCATAGACACTGCCATATTAGGCTTAAAGCATTTTTTGCTGTTTTTTGTGTCGTAATTAGCTATGATTATGGTGATACGACGTTGAATGTAATGGCCCAGCGTTTTGATGCGTGCGAGTTCGCCATAGCACAATTCGAATATTCATACGGATGGAAAACTGCATCATTATCATTCCAAGATGGCAGCCTATGATTGTGCCCGAAACAGGGCGTATATAAAGAAGAAATGAAGTGGTAGCAGTGCAGCACGAATTCAGCGCGTTAGATGAAGGAAGGAGGAGGAATAAATGAGGAAGGACAGGGAGGTTAGGCGTTAGATGAAGAACTACACAAAACCCCGAAAGATGAAATCGAAAGGGAGAAGTTTAATGAAGATTAAAAGCGTCGAGGCATAATACATGCTCGAGCCTACTCAGGGTATATCAGCACCTGTCCGCGGTGTTAAAGTTGATAATTTTCGAGGATGACCACTTATATGCAGCGTCTGAACATGCTGCAGAAAATATTCACCATCTGTTTTATTCTTTAACTTATCTGTTTGTACCGGCCTTTTAAGACATTGTATACCCGGGATGAAGATGCCAAGGTAGTAAACTGGCAAGAGAGAGAAAGGAAGGCTGGGGGATTAACCCTATCTTCGCATCCGGTTTGCTGCCTAGCACTGGAGGTTAAGAAATAGGGGCAAGAAAGGGCGTGTAGAGAGACAGAAAAGAAAACGCATGTGCACTCAGGAGTATGATGGCAAACTTAACAGAGGATTTATTACATTCTGTACAGACAGGGTGAGAGGTCTCTTGCGAATGAGCTGGGTGGCTCACTATAAAGTGTACGTTTTGACTTAATCAGGGAATGGGTCCAGAATGCGCTGTTGAATCACGAGACACACACACCATTTCTGACGGTGCCGCTCACACTCGCTAAAGTCAAGGTCTTTGATTGGGGCGTGGCCACCACACTGCACCTGTGACACCAAGAAACTATTGTGGTCGTCTGGTCGAACGTCTTATGGTGTCGGAATGCCACCTCACTTCCCGGCTAAGATGGACAGTACACGGCGGACAGCAGGCTGGCAGCCCTTCGGTGACTTGTTTGATGAACAAAGAACGCGGCCCTTCCCCGTCGGCCCAGGCGCCGCGCGTAACAACGGCTATCCAGTGGTGAGAAGAGGCGTAATAAGCTTGTCTGAGACCACCAGTTTTAAAAATAACAAAACAAAACTTAAAAAAAACTTGCCAGTGGACAATTTACAAAAGGCGGCTGGATTCATCAAAAATGCAGAGACCTACATTTGAGCGACATGTCATATATGACATAGTTCAGCAAACTGGTTTTCATCACGTAACGGACCTACTGGCACTGGGAGAGGTTAAGAATGATTGTCGCTGACAGATCTACTTCTGTTGCGAAGGTAATGCTCAGAGTCAACCAAATAAAACTTAACATTATATTCGAGTCTTGATAAAAAAATAAGTCAAGTTAAAAAGCTCCTCAGGAGGCCAAATAATAAATTACTTCACCATACTTCATGAAGAAGTAATTTGCAAATAAATAATGCAACCGCTGTTTAAATGACATTCAATGACGTGACCGCAATCAACGGTGTGTCGTCGCTATAAAACTGGAAAGTTATATGTGGACCCGATCGGGCGAATGCGGCGGAGAACGAATATGTCATGTAATAAAAGCGATGTGATGTTGCACATTTTCATCTTTACAACTCCGTGCCCTTTTGCTTGCTCGTGATGTGTTCGAAGGAGCTAGCCAAGTCTCAGGTAGAAGTCAAGCAGTGTAGCCGGGGCTGATAAGAGCAACGTTTATGTTCACTATTTACACACTAAAGGTAGCATCATGGAAACTTGATGAGAGCTTCTGAGAGCTGGTTCAGAGCGTCTCGGTGCTCGCGTTTTAAGCCGCGGTCTTCCTAAAATTCTCTGCAGGAGAAAACAATAGACAGTTTGCAATAATCTGCAAGGCAGCTTTTCTGTAAGGTTAGTTTTCCAACCATAAACTCTCGTTCACAGACTGCTTTTCTCGCTCATTTTGTTTTTGCCATTCACCTTTTTGAGATCTTGTTGTGCTCGCATGCCTTTGCTGGAATTCGGAGAGTTGACATTTTGTTGTACTCGCGTGCTCGCGTGCATTCGCTGGAATTCGAAGAAGTAAAGGCACAACGAGGGAGAAAAGCAGTCTGTGAACGATATTTTTTGGCTAGAAAATAAACCTTACAGGAAAGCCTCCTTGCAGATCACTGTAAATGGACAGACTGCATGTCCATTCAGTCCAGGGCAGCCCAAAGAAATTGTCGTCTTCATCTCCGTCCCCCAAAGGGTGGGGGTAGTGGTTAGAATAAGGCGCCTAATTTCTGCAGCCCAGC